AATATGACAGATTCATCTAATGAGAATTTTCTAAACTAGTTGGGATGATTCAAAAACAACTCTACATTTCTGAGCTACTGTGGGAGTTTATGATAAGCAAAATTGGACAAAACTGATAAAATCACATGACGTRTTTATATCTACTTCCATGGACTCATCCAATTACCTGGAAATGTAAATTCATAAATGCTACTCTGAAAGTTAACATCAACCATTTCAAGTTCATGCTATTATGTTAAACAAGGGAATATTTGTAAGTTATAAAAAATATGGTTCATATAAAATGTGAAGCTGTGTATTCAATTTTATATATTTGGGGGGCAGACAACCTTTTCTTTCTTTCATTTCTCTCGTTTTCTTCATATATTGAGGAAGAAACACAAGTATTTTCCATCTAAATAGGTTCCCTGAGAAAAGCCTGTCTCAAAGGTTTGATTAAAACCAGTTGAAGAAGCATGATGAGCTCCATTTACTGAAAGTATAGAAAAAGTGTGCATAAACAGCTACATTCTATCCAGCCATCCACACTCCAGACTGCAGACATTTACCTGGCTGGTGCAGTCAGTTCAACCAACTTCTTTGTTTTCCCTCTCCTTTTCAAGGGTAAATGGTTGCTTCTAAATGAATGAGAATGTGCTGAAACAGAACAAAATTCAGTACTATATACTTTCTTCCTGAAATAACCTTTGAAGGGTACTAAACTCATTGAGATAGATTCCAGCTTCCTAACGACAAATACCTCAGTTATAAGTAAATATATTTATAAGTATTTTGATGTTCTTTCTTTTCTAATGTCTCTTTCTGCTAATATTTTGTCAGTAAGTCTCCTGTCTGCCTTACTATGAAGGCATTATACCCAAACCGCTACTGTACTTAGATTCTCTCTACTTGAAAAACACATTATGACCCAGGGAATGCATGTGACTGAAAGCTGCTTTTCAAGGTCACCACATGGCTATTTGATAATGATAAATCTAGTGAGTTCCTAATTCTATAAAAAGAGTACAGAACTGAAATTCATTTCTGAGTCACACATAATAATAATTTTATATAACATTTATATTTTTGCAATAAAGCTAGAAAGTATAATGACAGACATATATTTGACATTAATAAACATTATTGGCTTGAATTATCGATGGAGTCATAATGATGTCGAGTTTGTTGGAGATATTGCCTAAGATCTAGATATACACAGAGAGAACAAATGATCAACTCTACAAGGTCATTAAGGCCGTGGTTGGCTACACCCATTTTTTTAGTCAACTATTTCACTGCTGTGACTAAAGGACAGGAACCAGAACAATTGTAGAGGAGGAAAAGTTTATTTAGGGGCTTACATTTCAGAGGTTTTAGTCCATGGACAGCTGGCCCCATTCCTCCGGGCTCAAGGTGAAGCAGGACATCATGGCAGAAGAGTGTGGCAGAAGGAAGCAGCTCACATGGTGATTAGAAAGCACAGAGACAGAGAATCTACTCTTTAGATACAAAATATATACCCAATAGCCATGCCTGCAGTAAACCACTTCCTCTAGCCACATCTCACTTGTCTCCAGTTGCTACTCAGTTAATCCCATCAGAGATTAATTTACTGGTTAGGTTAAGGCTATAACCCAACCGTTTCTCATCCAAATCTTCTTGCATTGACTCATACATGTACTTTTGGAGGACACCACAATTAAACAATAACGCCCATCTATTCATCTTTCAGATGGTAGGTAACATGTCCAGTTCCTAGAAAATTCACACTGAAGATTATGGCTAATGCATAAGGGATTACCAAAAAACTACAACCATGAAAGTCTCCAAGTCTTTTGCAAGCAAATGAATGGTAGAATAGTCAAATTATCATATCTGTAAAATGTTGCACAAAGAGCCAAGTGCTTTAGGGACTATCATGGAGGGAAGAATACCTTTTTATCCTGTATGCTTGGTATCTTGTTTGATTGTGTGCCACTGCATGGAGTCATCTTTGATAGTTTGGGCAGAGGAAACAATGTAGTCTATCTGTACACTTTTGGAAAACAATAGATTCTGACAGGTAGCAATTAGGATCCAAGAAGAGAAGCCATCAGCATAAGATAAAGAACACTGTTTTTAGTTTGTAATTCATTCATTCATTTACCAAGTATGTGCTATGTGCCAGATTATGTTCCGGGTCCTACAGGTGAAACAGTGAAAAGTAAGGGCAAAATTCTTAAGATACTTTGTTAGAGTGGGGGATGAGGACACAAGAAATAAACAAATTTATTCAGAGAGTGAGAAGTGTTTTAAAGAAAATAAAACAAGGCAGTCTAACAGACTAGAACTCTTTGCCTTGATGGTGTAGATTGATGGAGTGGGTCATATTATGCTTTTATGAGTTGGTGATATATGAGCAGATATCTGCATGATAATAAAGAACCTGCTTTTAAAAAAATGACAGCATGGAATACCAGGAAAAAAGAAATGCAAGTATTATGAACCAGATTCAATCAAGAGAGTGAAAGAAGCAGGCTGATGTGTCATAGCTACAGTCTACGGGAGCATGGTAGAAGCAAATGAGGCTGGAACAGTTTTATGCGGAATATTTTAGTCTCCAGTAAGCATTATGTGTTGTATTTAAAGTGCAAGACAAACTCACTGGAGAGTTTGAAGCAAACACATGACTAGACCTGGTTATGTTTTTAGATCATTCAGCTGTTGTTTGGAGTATATATTTCAGGGTTTATGGGGGACAGAAACAAGGAGGCAAAGTAGGAGACTTTTGAGTTGTTCAGGTGAGAGATGATAGCGGTTTGGATCCAGGTTGTACCAATGGAAAGGAAGCGAAGTGTACAAAGTGAGGTATGCTTTGGAGGTGGAGAAAACATAATTTGCTAATTAGTTGGATGTGAGGATGAAAGAAAAGAGAGAAAATAAGGATGACTTCTACATTTTTGGATTGAGTAACTGGGTAGAACAATTTGAAAAGGAACAGGTTTGGAGGGGGTGGATATCCGGAGTTATGCTTCTGAGATGCCTGTTAAACATGATAATAATAGTATCTACCTGGTAGGGTTCTTGTGAACAGAGAATAAGAACCATGAAAAAAAATCAGGTCAATCCCAAGCAGGAAGTAATTGTTCAATAAGTATTACTACTCTAATTCTTCTTCAAGTAAAGGACTGAAAAGAGTTCTGTTAGAGGCTAAGAATGAAGATATAAATCTGAGAGTTATATAGGGTTCACTGCTGCTCAAATTGTTCTTGGAGAAGGGCATTATTTTTTATCCATCATGGACCAATAGTACAATGAGCTGAATGTTTTTGTCCCCATTCCCCAAATTCATAGGTTGATATCCTGCCCCCCAAATTCATGTACTAATATTCCAACTTCCAAAGTAATGGTCGTAAGAGGTGGGTCCTTGGAAGGTGATTAGGTAAAAAAGGTGGAGCCCTTACCAATGGGACTAGTGCCTTTATAAGGGACAGTCTTGAATCCCATTGCTTCCTTCCACCATGTGAGAACAAATGGGAAGAGCAATATGTGAGCCAGAAATTTGGCCCTCCACAGATATTAACTGCCTACATCTGGACTGAAGACTTCCCACTCTTTAATACTGTGAGAAATAAGTTTCTGTTGTTTATAAATCACCCCATCTACGGTATTTTGTTATAGCAGCTTGAATGGACTAAGACAAATACTTATATCAACTCCAACAAAAACGAATTACCTTAAAAATAAAACATGCAAAGTACAACTGACTAATGTGCTTGGATGTTATGGTAGTGTCAAATAGCTATAAACGTTTCTAAATCTTCTCAATTTCTGTACTTACCTCTCACTACAAACTAGTAAAGAAGAGTTTGCAGACCTGCACCAGGAAATGCACRTTAAGAGCACTAATACTTAAAGTCAGGGAGGTAGCTACAGGAAAGAGGCCTTGGAGCAAGCCCTGAGACATATTAAATTCAACTGGAGAGGAAAGGGTGTTCAACACGCTGAAATGATGATAACAGTGTTTGCATACGTGAACACACACGCAACGGAAATCATGTATATTTACAAGTAATCAGTTGTAATTAGGTATAAGGAAAGAGCTAATCATTCCTGCAGGAAGTCACTCTTCTTCCCACATATGTGGTATCTGAAGAGAAAGAAATCCTCTTCCCTACCTCCCCCTCACAAACACTTCCATCTAATCATCAGAGATGCAATCTAGTGCTCACCTTGTAGTAAGTATCTGAAGCTCCTTCAACACCACACTGGGGGACAGAACAATTAGTGGACCTGAGTAGCCACCAAGTGTGTGAAGATGCTCTAGGCCCGAAGCACCATCGCATCACTTAATGATCCATGACTCCTGCCTTCTCATCAGCCTCTCTCTCACTCAAAACTCCAGCTCCAGTGGTCCAGATGCCGGAGATAGCACCTATGCCTTTGGCCAGATAGCACCTGATAGAATACTTAGGGGAAAGGGTCAGATTTCTGGGTAAAGTCAATAAAGTAGTTTTCATTACGTGGAGTCTTTGGGTAAGCAAAACTTATTTAACTTTACACTTTCTTGAACCCCCACTCAAGAGTGCTTCCGCTGGGAGCCCTCAGTAGCAGCGCTGCGTTGCGCCTTCCACGCAAGCTTCGGGTTGCAAACCAGAAGACCAGGAGAACGGAGCGTGGGCTGCGGGTGAACGTGAAGTTGAACGAGCCTCGGTCCAAGAGTTCCTCTCCTCAAGGAAGGCTCTCAGGTCTCCAGGGCTTCCACCAAGCTGGGACTTGAGTGGCCACAGCGAGACCGCTGGCCGAGCGGTTCTGCACCGAGAACTGGGTCCTCCAGCGGGAGCGCTGGGCCCGGCCAGGCGCGGGCGCCAGCAAGGGGCGGGGCGGTGACTCACGCGGCCGCGCGCCCGGGGAAGAAGCGGCACCTCCGGCCGCGCGGGGCGAGGGGCTGCGCCCGCCCGCGGAACGCATGCGCGCTGCCGAGCGGCTCCCGCTGCCTCCCCGCCCACCCTCGCCTCCTCCCCCTCCCCCCTCCCCTCCATCCTCGCCTCTCTCCCTCTCTCCTCGCCCGCTGGGTGCTGAAGTTGGGCGGATGGCAGCAAACCGGCTCTGCTAAGAGGACCGGGCAGCCCAGCCTCGCGCCCTCGGACCACTGGTGCGCTGCCCACACCTCCAGGCGATCGGGTAAGATGCTGCCACCGAAGCCGAGCGGTGCTAAGTAAATGACATCAAAATGTCTGCTTTGCACCGATGGATGGATTTTTTTTTCAAGGTGGGGGGGAGGTGAAGGAAAGAGGGGGCGGAGAGTGCGACTGCTAATACCCGGGCTGGGGAGGTGGCTGGGCGGTGGGGTCTCGGCGCTGCCAGCGGCGCCGCAGCTTTGGGAAGTTGAATCCCGCGTCGCTGCCTGGGCTSGGTCCGCTCGCAGCCCTCCAGCTCTGCGGAGGGACCGGGCGAGTGTCCTGCCGCTCAGCGAAGCCTTGGTGGGTCTCCGCGCTCCCGGGGCACCTCGCAGAACCCGCAGAGAGGGCCGGGATGGCGGGAGACCCGCGGGGCTCGCGGTCCGGCAGGGATTTTTTTTTTTTTTTTTGGGGGGGGGTGGTTGATTGTTAAGAGAACCGAATGTGAAATTGTCTACTCTCCCGATCACCTCGGGTGGTATTTCTTCTCCCTTATCTTTGTACCTTTGGGGAACTGCGCTATTCAGGTGGGGAAGGTGTAAGCAGAAGGCGTTGCAAAAATCAGTACCTAGAGCCATGGTAAAATATCTGGGTGTGTGAGTGTGAGTGTGTGTGTGTGTGTGTGTGTGTGTGTGGGTAGGGGTGAGGGTCTCTTTTGTTCCTTCCCCGCCCCTCAGTCAAGGGGAAGGGAGTTCTGGTGTGCACGGCGTGGGGTAGGGCTGGCGGCCACCGAGGGGGCGAGGACGAGGAACGCCCACCGAAGCCCTGGCCGCGGCCGGGTGTGTGCGTCCGAGACTCCCCGGCCGTGGGTGATGATGATTCTTTTTATTATCGATGGAATCACAGTTGGAGAGCTTCCTCCTCGCCCGTCTCCCTCCTCCTCTCCCTCTTCCTGGGCTGCGGCAGAGGCTGGATGCAGACACTCCGCCGCTTTCTCCTCTTCTCCCTACCTCCCTGTCTMCGTGGAAAATGTCGGAGGACTTGAGGATGGTGGAGGGGCAGCGCTGGCCTCGGAGCCGCGGGTGGGAGATGCTCCTCGGGAGCCGGAGGCTGCTGGCCGCGCGTCCGTCCGGGGCAGCCCGCGCCAGCCCCGGGAGTCCCTGGGCTCCCGGAAGCCRAGCAGGGGTCGCCTGGTCAGAAGGACGCCCTCGGGCCGCGCGGGGACCCGCCCTGCGCCCTCCGCCTCCCGCGGGAGCCCGGGACGCCGGCTCACCTGGGGAATCCTGGTCCCTGGGAAGACGGAGCCTGGCTCCAGGCGGAGTCCCGAACCAGCCCTTCTCCCGCCGACCTCCAAGAAATGCTCTCTCCAGAGTCTCCTCTGGAGAACTTTGCAAGCTTCCTAGTTGTCTCCCCCCACCCCCCCCCTTTTTTTTTTTGAAAATTGTTTTACAGGGAGATTCTTTTCCTCGTGGGATGGCTGTCACACAAAATAAAAGAGAGATCTTAGTTTGGTTCCCACCTAGGAAAGCACTTCTGAGACTGAATGCCATCTGCATTTCCGGCATTCACACAGACTGGTTTTCCGGGTGAGGAACCCCTCAGAAAATGATTTAATTGGCGAAGTGAGAAATACTTTTCACTCCTGTGATGGACAGTGGTATTTTTTTTTTTCTCCTGTGTTCATAGGTGCTAGGCGCCATATGTATTAAATAAGGTTGCACACTGTGAAACACTTCAAGTACATGGTTTCTGAAGTCTTCTGGAGTAATAGTAGTGGTTGTCCACTAAATGTGTGTTATAGCACTAATAACTAATCCAAGGTAATTTGTACTCATTAATTCAGATGAATGAGAATTTTGTCCTTCTCCAGTTAACTTACTGTTATTAAGCTATTTCTTCACTCAGCATGAACTAAAATAGTAATTAGCACATTTATAGGAGTATAGATTTATTTGCTATATTTATATTCTTCAAAACTATATTTAGGGCAACCATGGAAGAGTAGTTTATTTACAGTTGTTTTTTTTTTAAAATGAGAAAACCAGTGTTTATTATTACAAAAAGATCAAGTAGCATAATTTATTAAATAAGATGAATCTCCATAGCAATGATACCTGATCTCAGCCGGGGACACTCATCTTTCCAACTGAAATTGTAATCTAAAAGATTAATAATAAACTACCCAATTTACAGGGAACAGCATAGGGTGTCCATTTTGCCGACATCCACTCTTTCCTCTCTGGTTCCTCAACTACTCTTTGGTGCTTAGTTTCCAAGGAAGAGAATTAGCAATGAGCTACTTTGCAGTCCCTGTGCAGTTTTAAGGCAAACAGCTTTTTCTTATCAGATAGCTTTTATTTGATTTTGTGGATAATCCCCTGGGGTCCAAGCATATTTGAACTCATAATGTTGAATTTCTAAGTCCATCATTATTCCTGTGGACTTCTTTGCTAAATAAATAAATAAATAAATAATCTTCCTTTACAGATCAGAAGCTTTGAATAAAAAGAGAGAGATGTATTCTTATCCACCTACCTTATTATAATAGCCAAGTAAAAGTGAATAATCTACATCTTAATTGATAAAAATGCCTGAGTGACTCACAGACTAAAAGTGAGAAAGAATTTATACATAAATCTACTGCTATAAAGATGATGGACTTTATATTAGAAGTCCATTCACTAAAGTACAGGGACTTTTCTGGAAAAGCAGAGGGTGGTCATGGACTGTGGGGTAGAGCTAAGAGGGATGGGCATCAATTCAGCTGCATTTCTGCTAAGAGTCCTGGTAATCCAAATCTGCCTACTTAACAACAAAGATATTGCATTATCCAGAAGAGGAAAGGCAAGCACCACGCTATACCCAGTGGATGGCACTAATAATGCTTTGTGATGCTGAAAGCATTTTGTTTAATCTGATTTCTATATTGAGAGTATAAGTGAAAATTCATTGTGGATGTTTAAAATTTATAATATTACTGGGGGTGTCTTGGATTCTCAGACATATAAGTTTTTAGGGAAAACTTTAAAACACAGACAATGGGACTTTTGATGTTAGACAGTTATTGCCACTTTTCCTCTCTTTTTCCATTTCCACTATCTCCCAAAGATATTTTTCTAATTTCCAAAAAATTCATTTATTCCTGCTATTGTATATGGMACAACATTTAACAAAAGGCCAAACACTTCTTAAATGAATAAACTTTGTGGAATTGACATGGCTCACAAAAGTTTCCCAAGATAAAATTTACAGTTTTTAAAAGAATGCTCATGTTCTTTACCAGTTACACTAGTGTGAGACCATGAAGTTCATGCCCATGGTCACAGATGTTTGAAGGGAATAGTTTTTTAAACTGTTACATTATGAATATGCATGCTTTTAATACAACATATATAGTATTGATTCGTTTCTAAATTATAAAAGAATATTTGCTTATTTTAGATCCCCTAGAATAGAGAACAATGTATTAAATAGAAAATAAATGTCCTGTGGGCAGAAATGGACATGATGAACACAACTTGACCTTACCTTATGTTCTGGCTCCTCTATTAGCTATGATCTTGGGTTACTCACTTGCCCTTAGCCTCAGTTATTATTCCTCTGCTATACAACCAGAATAAAGATCCACCTTCTAGGATGGCTTTAAGCCTAAATATAGTGCTGTGTATGTAAAGTACATAGTGCTTAGTATGTGCCGAGTACCTAGAATTATCCTAATGTCTAAAGAACTGCTATTGCCAATATAGAGTACTTTAACACCCATTCATCATGTACATGATTACGCCATTGTTTAAAAAACTGGAATCATGTCATAGAATGTCGTATTTGAAAATCAATATTACTTCATCACTGTTTCATATTTTTAATGTAATAGTCACCACAAAATAAATTCATCTTATAAATGAATTTATTAATTTATTTAGGCTTTCTTTTATCTTGGAGCCTTTATGTTATTTCCAGTATTTTCTGTTTTAACTGATGTACATCCTAATTCCTAAATTGAATGCATATCTGTAATGCAGTTTTTCCTTCAAGCTTGATGTGTAAGAACATCTACTTTTCACCAACTAAGAAAACTGGTTACTAAGAAAACAGATTACTTTTTAGTTTGCTCTTGAGCAAATTTTTATTTTTTTCTTTGAGAAAAAAAAAGTCTCTTGCCCACGTGTACTTTGGTGTTTGGATGCACTTTTCTTATTTATTTAACTGCTAATATTAACCTCTTTAAAAAGGGAAAAGCAAACAAGGGAAGGAAATGCTCAGATGTAAAGACTGCCTGTGGCAAAGACTACAGAGATTACTGTGGCTACCGCAGAAGGGCTGGAGGTAGGTTAGTCTGGAGTGGGTCTACCTGGGTGTTCACAGGATACCATTATGGTGTCTGGGATTGCCAGTTTGCCCAGTTCCTTTGAGAAGCCCAGGGTCACTCATTGGTTTGCCACACACCCTGCTGAGAGGCTTGTACATAAAGAGCACCTAGGTTTTCATGGATTGTTTCTGTCAATTCTTAGTGTTATGGGAGAACTTTGGAGTTTTCCTGAGATAAATGGGATGGAAAGGAAAGATGGCAGTGGGTGGAGGTCCCATGGCACGCTAACTGACATTTCTCATCAGAATGAAATAATTAAGTTCAATTATGAAATCATTATCGGGTTAACATGCCCTATCTTGAATTTTCAGTTGTAGGTAAAATTTCAATAATTAAAAGGTAAGAATCTAATCTGTTACCTTAATAAGTTTTGTCTCCTTAATGTTCCACATGAGTCAGTGGTCTCAAAAACTCTTGGTTTTGAGCTGGGGATGTGGCTCAAGCGGTAACGCGCTCGCCTGGCATGCACGGGACACTGGGTTCGATCCTCAGCAAATAAAGATGTTGTGTCCACCGAAAACTGAAAAATAAATATTAAAAAATTCTCTCTCTCTCTCTCTTCTCTCTGTCTAAAAAAAAMMAAAAMMAAAAMMAAAAAAAACCTTAGTCATTGGAGAACCAAAATTTGTAATAATTGGGAAATCTCTATAAGAGAGACAATAAGTTATGGTGGAAAATACATTCTCATTTCAAAC